CAATTAAAGAAAAGGTAAAGGGATGAAAGCATAAAAATATATAGACACACATGCATACAGACATTTTATATACACGTGTGAGTGAAATCTGTAACATACCACTATACGATCAACAAAAGATGTCAAGATCTCATTATGTCATTAAACATAAATAGAATCACAAGATGATATTAAAAAAAGAGTAATCACCCTAGTACCTTGGGCACAAGAGTCTGATGACTTTATAAGCGAAAACAGAATAGAGGAGAAGCATTCCTTTGATATTGAATGCTATTTTCCTTGGGGCATAAAGAATGATTCTTTTTCTTTTATAAGCAAGAAGATAAGTAATTAGGTAAAAATGTTGGATTTTAAGTTTATAATAGATAATTAGCATAAATTGTGCTAATTAATTAATTAGCAAATTCATTAAGTTGATTCGTGGGTTGGTTCCATTCCTTCTATACTGTCCAAATATAAGTCCAATCAAAATAGCTAGAATGAATTTTAAATTTAAGAAAAGATATAAATGTTGCTAAGATCAAGCCTATATGTTCAAGTTATTTATCTGCGATCTATAACATTATAAGCCTATTATGAAACAAATATCATTCAATACATAGTTATGTTTACTTGAATTATAAGAATATTATAATTAATTTTAATTGACAAGTTAATTGTCTAAGATATTTAAGGTGCATTCCATTGCAAAATATAAGGTTAGTCGCAACTACGACAAAGTTAATGATTTAATAGTCAATGTAAAGTAAATTTAACTAATTAAGATATGGATGATAAATACAAGAAAAATGCAACGTTGCAGACATATTCATAGAAGACAAATTACCAATAAACTATTGATATCGAATGATATAATCTCAATTAACTATGTTAAATCAAAGGAAAACATAGCGGATCATTTGACGAAAGGACTACCAAGAGATCAAGTACACCATCTTTCAAGGGGAATGTGCCTAAATCCTATTGAACAAAATCACCATAACGATAACCCAACCTTGTAGATTGGAGATCTTAGGATCTTGGTTCAATGGAACAACTAAGTTATGAAAGATTCGAGGTAAAAGCAGTTAGTCCCATTCCTATAGACTTAATGCTATAATAAAAAATGTGCAAGGATAAGTATATACTTTTAATGATTCTTATATCTTGGAAATAACCAAGAGATGTATGATACGATACTATAAGAGGTCACCTATGTACGTGTGAAGTGGGGCTGCTTTTATGAAAATTTGAGGCTTAAATTTTTTTAGAACACTTATGAAATCAAGAGTTATTCAGGGACAAAATGAACACAATCATGAGTACCAAAGTGGTTAGATGGGTTAATTTACACAAACAGTTGAATAGTTCAAAACATCTCTTTCACCAATTAGCTTAGTAAATTCAATTGTATTCGACTAAGGAAGGTTAAAAGCCACAAGCCACCTATTCTGATACTATAGCTTGTCGTATGTACTCCTTTTTTAGGGTGTGTATATCATTTGTATAGTGGATTACATACTGTGAAATTTCCATTCATGTGGAGGATTGTTGAAATTTGTTAAGTATAAAATCATGGTATAGGGCCTTTCGCGTCAACTTGTTCAAATAATTGGACTTGATCCGATAGTCAAATTATGAAAATAAACAGACTAGCTTATTTTACTCGTCGAGTATATCAATATCGTATATTTGGAATCTCAAAAGCAATTCCTAATGAATAAGAAACTAAAATCCAAAATTGTTATAAAAGAGGAAAAATTAGCTAAGATTTTCCCCAACTCCATCGCTTACCTAGCATTCGAGCCGTGAATGAGAGGTAAGACTGTCACTCGAGCGAACAACAAGTATCTGCTTAAAATAACACCACTGGTGCTCGAGTGACGCTATGCCACCCGTCGTGGAGATTGGTGAGTTTTGGGGCATACTCTTCACTCACAACCTCTCCTCGTCTATAAATAATACCCATGGGGCATCCATTAAAATCAACTTAAAACAAAAAGCTCAACTTTTGCCTCGACTTTGCAATCATTTCCTTGGTGTTATTTTGTCCATTATCATTGGCGTTTTAATATCGTTTCTGTGGTGTTTATTCTTCAATTTCTTGTTGTTACTCTATCAAATTTTGATAAAGTTGGTAAGTTTGATTTTAAAGTTATTGTTCAAATCCATTTTACAAACAACACATTTCAATATGAATATTTTTAAATGAGCCACCATCTAACCAGAACATGTTAAGGAATAAATATATAAAAAATTAAATTGCTTATCACAATAAATTGTTAGAGTATCTTCAAGAGACTCTCTTTTTAAAGAACGTATTATATTATTTGGAGTGCATCCATAAATTTTGAAAATTAAAATTTTAAAATACTTCAATAAACTCTTTATATTTAACACTCAATTTTATCACTCTCAAAAAATATTTATTATATTTCTTTATCTTTTATTTTAACTAGTTTTTCTTTAAATTATTTTAATATTTTTATATATTGAAAATTGAAACACTTTGAATGCATTTTATTATGGAGAGTGTATTTGACTCTCCTTTAAAATATATTCAAAAGACTCTCTATTTATAAAGAGTATCTTATGCATAATAGAGAGCATATTTATATTTAGAAGGTAATTTTTTTATACACTCCAACAAACTCTCTATTTTGATTCTTTATTTTGTTTTTCCAATGAACATTTAATAATTTCTCCACATATTTTATTTAAATATAATTTTTTTATTTATTAATATCCAATCAATTCAAATGTAATTTGAAAATTTTAAATTGTAGAGTATTGAAATTTGTAGTGTATTAAATGCAAACATTGTACATTAAGAATAAAGAGTGGGATTGACTCTCTAAATTCGAAGAGTCAAACATACTCTCTACTTTAAAAAATTAAAATAGAGAGTTTCTTGGAGCTCATTTTTAGCATTAACTCTTTAAAATAGAGAGTATTTTGTATTTAAAGAATCTTTTGGAGATACTCTTAGAGAGTCAAATCTAACCTCTAAATTAAAATGTCAATTTAAAGAGTTTTTTGAAGCATAATTTTAAATATTGACTATTTAAAATAGAGAGCATCTCATATTTAAAAAGCGAAAGCATTCCTCTTACTCATAAAATTTACACACTTATTTGACAAATAATCGTGACCTTTAATTTAAGTCAATTCAACGCTCAATATCTTATGGATCTCAAGTGGTCATAACAAACTCTCTCGTGATCTTAATGAACTTTATATTGATCATTGAACTGACTTAAATTAAAGGACACAACTATTTATCAAATAAGTACGACAAAATTATGAGTAGGAAGAACGTAATTTAGTACCGATTTAGACGGACCAATGTCTCAATAGCTATTGTTCACGAAATATTTTCTTTCGTTTTGTACTCGCAAGTGTATGGTTCGCAACAAGTAATAAAGTGAAAATTGAGTTCGAATGTCGTCCCACAGAGATTGATTTAGTTCAATGTCATTTATCCAAGCCTTGAGACCGAAGCTAAATTATCCCAATTGAATTTGTGATCTAATTATGCTCTAACCAAACTAATTATGCAAACAATGAACAAAATGCAAATTGATATTTAAATGAACTAAATGCTATTTAATGTTGAGAACGCACGTACTAGGATCATGAATCTCCAAATAATGTTCGATTTAACCCTAATTTCATATGTTGACAACACGATGAAATTTTCAAGGATCAATACTCCTAGTTCTATCCAATACTCTCTCTCGAGCAGTATTGAACCTATTCTTATACTCCATTAGCCTATATCTCTATGACATAAATACATAAGAATGCATATAGTTTTGTGAGTACTTAAAGATTCACACAAGGCATAGTTGTATATCTCGTCGGACCCTACAATGATTTATACCGTGTTGAACCTATTTCTCTTCTCTCGAATGCAAGAAACAACGAGTCACCAAACTCAAACAATTACGGGCCCTTAATTGCGAAAGAAATGAATTTCATAGAAATCATTCAAAATAAGCAAATGTGTTTTAATGTCAAAAATATGAAACAAAGAATTAAAAACCACATTACAAGGTTCATCAATCTCCTAGTACATATAAGTCTAGCTAACATGGATTAAATAACAGAAAACATGATAATTGGAATAATTGACATCACCGGTTCAATAAATCAATGCAATTTTGTTGTTCTCCGTGAAATCCTTCGTTGTCATGGCTTCAAAATTGCTCCAAGATGTGTGTTTTTCTCTTCTCAATGCATTCTCCCCTAAATTTGATGGCTTGAGGGTTTTTATATCACTTCCCGTTTTGGTTTTTGCAAGAATTCTAACGAGACTAGGAAACTGCACAATCGTCCCCAGAAAACAACTATGCGATTGCATAGCTTAAAGCTATGCGACCACATAGTGAAAATGACTTCAGCCTTTGAATCCCCTACCATGGTGTATGCGACCGCATGAAGTTCTCTACTATGCGACCGCATAGTAGAGTAATCTTCCAACTTAGGCCATTTTAGTCCCCCGAAACTTGTTATCTTCCATTTTGGCCTCATTTTTTGGTTCTTCTCATTCCATCAACCAATATTAGCCCCCAATTGGTACTTAGCTCAATTAATTCCTCAATTCTTCTTTCGGGTCATTTTTTGGTATTTGTACCTTGGTCCCTGAACTTTCATTTTCCTTCAATTTGGTCCCTTTTCGCGTCTTTTCTTTTGAATTCCGCAACATCCATCAATATAACCTACAAAAAAAAATTCGTAGACTTAAGCCACATTCCAACTATAATTAACACAATTTAATCATGTTTTGTGACTTGAATAATGAAGTTTGTAAAATCACATTTATCAGCTATCTTTTACCATTTGGATTTGAATTCTTCTACCTGACAACAGATGTAAGAAAATCATTGAGTGTGTAAAATTACAGTTATCAGCTGTCCTTTACCATTTGGATTTGAATTCTTCTACCAGACAGGTGTAAGAAAACCACGCAACACGTAGCATACACCGCCTTATAGCCTTAACATATCGACAACTCATCATCCCGATGAACCATCCATCCTATTACTTTGTTATATATACCACCGGTGTTGCTGATTAAGTAGAAACCATTCCAGTCATCCACTTTATTTCGCAGTTTGTGTATGATTTTGTCTCTGTTGAGCTGACCTCACCTCAAAATGGAAAAATCACCAGAAATGGAGCACCCAGTAAAGGCCTTTGGATTGGCTGCTAAAGACCCTAGTGGGATTCTTTCTCCTTTCAAGTTCTCAAGAAGGGCTACAGGCGAGCATGATGTGCAGTTTAAAATCTTGTATTGTGGGATTTGCCATTCGGATCTTCACGTTATCAAGAATGATTGGGGTATCACACAGTACCCGGTCGTGCCCGGGCACGAGATTAACGGGGTGGTAACCGAGGTTGGGGAAAAGGTGAACAAGTTCAAAGTTGGGGACAAAGTCGCCGTCGGATGTTTGGTCGGGTCGTGTCGGGAATGTGATCTTTGTAACAAGGATCTTGAAAATTACTGCAGTAAACAGATACTCACTTTCGGTTCCAAGGACGTCGACGGCACCACCACATATGGCGGTTACTCTGGCATCATGGTGGCTAATGAGCACTTTGTTCTTCGCTGGCCAGAGAAATTTCCAATGGACGCTGGTGCTCCTCTCTTATGCGCCGGGATTACAACTTACAGCCCGTTCAGGCACTATGGACTCGACAAGCCAGGATTGCATATCGGCGTTGTGGGGCTAGGCGGGCTCGGCCATATTGCCCTTAAGTTCGCCAAGGCGTTTGGCTCTAAAGTTACAGTTATCAGTTCATCCCCTAATAAGAAGGAGGATGCAATTGAGAATCTAGGTGCGGATGCATTTTTGGTTAGCCGTAATCAGGAGGAAATGCAGTCTGCATTGGGCACATTGGACGGGATAATTAACACCGTTTCAGCATCTAGCTCCCTCGCGGACTTGTTAAGTTTGTTGAAGATTGATGGTAAACTGATACTGCTTGGTGTGCCGGAAAAGCCGCTAGAGCTGCCGGTTTTCCCCTTACTCGTACAGGGGCGGAAGGTGGTGGCCGGCAGTGCGATTGGAGGACTGAAAGAGACACAGGAGATGCTTGATTTTGCAGCAAAACACAATATATTGCCAAACGTGGAGATCATTACAGCGGATTATGTTAACACTGCAATGGAGCGTCTGAAGAAAGCTGATGTCAAATATCGATTTGTTATCGATGTTGGGAAAACACTGAAACCCGAATTATTGTGCTGAGCGTAAGCGCCATGTTTTCTTGAACCTGTCCTTTTCAGTGAACTTGGAACTCGTGCGTGGTTGAATAAGGATGCTTGTTTTTGTATTATCTGTTGTGTTTCAGTTGCAATATGTACTTATGTAAGATTAAGGAAAATAAATAAATGGTTTTATGAGATGTTTCGTTCCTATTATCTAGTGACTCGGTAAAAATAAGGGCTCATTTGATCATCGTTTTGAAAAGTTTAAAACTACTACTAAAATTAAAAAGTTGTTTCTGAACGAAAGTTTTTTGTCTAGCTAGAAAAGTTAACGTGAAATGATTTCATGAAGTTTCTTTTCTATAAGAATAAGAATAAATTGTAAAATAATGTGGAAAAAAGAAACAACGTCTTACTATTGTGTACCCTATTTCGAGCTTGAACCTTAGTGCAACAACTCAACTTGGAAAATAAGTGTATTTGAAATCTTGTTCTTATCCAAATACTTCTATACGAGTATACATTACACAAGAATATCTAGTCTCATCTTTGTTGTCCAGAATTCCCACACTCGTAAGAGTGACAAATTTGTTATCTCATCTTTGTTGTCCACAGAGCCCTCGTTCATCATAGCTGCAAATTCGTCGTAATTAAATCTCTCATCCTGTGCAGTAAAAGAGGAATTAATTCCCCTAATGTGCAAACTGTTATAAAAATAAAATCACTTCGAGTTAATTATTCTTTGAATGACTTACTTGATCAGCACCTACATCATTAATAACCTCGTTGACAATAGCTTCTTCTCCCATTACATATTGGTGCATAGCTTTTCTTAGCTCATCTCTGGTAATAAATCTGTTGGATCCAAAACAAATATTTAATATCATGGAAATTACACAAATACTTATTGTAATGAATTCAATGTAGTCTATACTCTGTAGTTCCATTCTTGTCGACGTCAGCCTGGAAGTAGAAATAATATCATTCAATATCTCGTAGTACTATATTGTCGAATACTACCTATCACACTCTTAACTCCAGTTTTTCATTGAAAAGGGTAGGGATACGAGACAATAGTAATTTCGGGTTTGTATTTCTGCCCCGGTGAGCTTAGAGGCTAGCTTAGACAACCACCCAATTTTGAGTTCGTTAAACTACGTCAAGTTTATCAGAGCATCTCCAATACTTTCTATTTTTAAAGAGTATATTTTATCATTTGGAAAGAATTTATGAATTTAGCGAGTTAAAATTTTGAAGTAACTACATTGAAAATTGAAACACATTGAATGCTCTATAAATTAAAATATTAATTTAAAAAGTCTATTGAAACAAATTTTAAGGATTGATTATTTAAAATAGAGAGCGTCTCATATTTAAAAAATCTTTTGCAAATACTCTGGTAGTCCATTCAAATAGTTCTGAGATCAAGTATGGAATTCAGTTTCCTCCCTTTTCTTCTAAATTACCAATTCCCTAGATGATATTTTAATAAATGAACATTATAGTCATTCTAGCAGGACTAAATGACCTATTAAATAAAAAATTATGGCTATATTAAATTGTTTTAATTGCTAAATTTTTAAATTATGGCAATAGTCAGACGACGTTGGAGAGAATATTAAATTTTATTAAAAAGTCATTATAATTTGAAAAAGTGTCATTATTAAGATAAGATTTGCGTGATTAAAGTGGGATTTTATTTGGTGATTTGTATAATGAGTGTTGACCGCAATAGGAAATTCAAGATTTGGTCGTGATATTCACTTGAGGTGAAATTTCACAAGCCTTGAGTAAATTTTGTTTGTGGAGCCCATCATTTTGTAATAACAATTCAAAATTCCATGTAATTTAGATCCTCAGTGTCATCCAAATCAAGTTTAAGATCAAGACCGAGTTATCAATTGTTTAAATGCCGGATTAATCAAATCCAGCATGGTGATATTCGAGAAGATGACACTATTATTTAGGACTGAACAAATCTCCCCGAACCGAATCGACTGAACCGAACCTGAACCCCACGGTTCTTATCAAATTAAATACCCGAACGAGTATCTGAATTGAATTGAGAACCGATGGGTACGATTTGGTTCTCCGTTCTAACCCAGAATCGAATAAGAACCGAATCTTTCTAATTTTTTTTATATTAAATAAATCAAATTATTTTAATTTTAATTTTTTCTAGACAAATTAACAATTTTTAAATTCAAATCTTTGGACTAATAATTTGTTTCATTTCTAATTTTTTAATTTTTTGCCCAATTATCTATTTTATTATTTCATTTCTTAGCCCAATAAGATTCAACCCACTAAATAACCCTAAACACCTACACTAAAATGCATAACGCTGTCTCGACTCTCGTACTCACTCTCGTAACCTCGTTGACATTCCAAACCTATACAATCGCCGGTCGACGTTGTGACCTCCGTCGACCGAAGCTTTGACCGTAGCGATCATTTGAACAAGGTAATCTACTAGTCTCTGACATTCCAAAACCATTGAATGTGTCATTAGTTGTATTTATATAATGTTGTTATAAATGTTAAAAAATTTAATTATAGTACGGAACCGTACCAAATCGAACTGAACCGAATAGAACCGAACCCGAACGGTTCCATAATTATATTTGGATCCGACGATTCCATTTACTAAATACCTGAAAATTTTGATTCGATTAGGTTCGGTTCTCTTTAGAACTAAATCGAATCGACCCGATCCCACCTCTACTATTGTTTTCTTCTTTTAGTTTTCATTTTTTATTACATAGTTTATGTTGATTAAGAACGTGGGTGAAATTACTTACTAATATAGGCTTGTCATTTACTTTAACACCTTTTTTGACGTAACCATTAGAGTTTATTGATCATGAGCACTTCAGCACTGGTAGTCGTAGCAAGTGTTAACAATAGGTTTAAACTAGATAATAAGAAGAGCGTAAATTATTCTGTTTGAATAAAAAAAATAATTATGGCAGTACACAAAGTAAACTTAGAAATATGTAGAATCTTAGCCAAACAAGAGAGTAATGTGACCTACTAAAAAGTTCATTAGGCCCTTGTTTGACGGATATATATATATATGTAGACGTAAAAAGTGGAGATAATTTATTAATACATATAGGATTTTTAGGGAGATGTTCAAATAATTCACAAACTAAATATAAAATTTATATAGACAAAGTAGTAAATTTAATGAGTAGTAAATGAATTAATATGATAAGACCTCAAGAATATTCATCAGAACAATTAGCAGGATTAGAATGGGATATTGATAGATTTTTAGACAATAGCCAAGAAAAAATTATAGCACCACAAGAATCATTAACCTATAAATATACAGAATCAGAAGAAGATATAGAATTAGTAGAAATAGAGGATTGCATACAATTTTCTAGTAAAATATTTTTTCCTAATTGGTCTTTTATCTTTTTTACATTTTTTCTTATAATTCTTTGAACTAGAGGCTCCATATGTTTGTGGTGTAAAAATATCTTTACAAAATTTATAATCTGTCTTTTTAAGTTGTTTTTGTATTTGTAGTTCTACACATTTTCCTTCTAAGCATCTTATTACATGTTGAATTCTATGTCCTATACTCCATTGTTTTTCTGGATGTTCTTTTAATGAATTTAAATTATTCCACGAGTCTGTTATTTCTAATACTAATGGTCCTGATAATTTATGAAATAATTTATTTCCTATTTCTTAATTAAATGTATTTCCTGAAATTGACATTAAGTAATAATATTCATTTAAAAATCTCTTAACATGTCTTCCTTTAGTCCATTTATATAAACTAAGTTGTTCTAAGTCTCTCATTGCTTTCTTTTGTATACTCATATGTCCTGAATTTGGATTTGCTCCAGTATTTAAATTTATAAAAACAGTCTAGGATATTAGATAAAATATAATTCTAATATAGAAGGTTACATAGAAGAAGATAATATAGTTGGAACATATAGTAAAGACATAAAAGAAGTTTTAGAAATTTTTAGAATAATTAAAAATTTACCTTTAGAAATAAAAGAAAAAAATATTTAAAAAGATGTTATTTGAAGAATATAAGCATATATATATAATAGAAGAAGTTTGGAGTGAAATAAATTTCACAGTAATCTAGAAGTAAAAAAGTAAGATTATTTAGACTTAGAAATAAGAAGTAATCGTAGAAAAGTAACAACTGTAGAAAGAAATATTTTAAAGTGTAATTTAGAAATTAAACATAAATTACATAGTTTATTTTCAGAAGAACCAAGTCAAAATAGTATTATAGACTTAATTATAAATTTGTCCAGAAATTTAGAACTTGAAAATAAAAAGAAGTTTAATTATTTAGAAATAATTAAAGACTATATTATAGATAAAATTATTGAAATAAAAAATATTAAAGAATCTTTAGATTATATTAAGAATCAAAATTCTAGTATCTTAGAAAAATTAGTAAAATTGGAAAAAAATTCCTATAAAACTAGATTTTTCAGAAATAATAACGAATTTAGATTTTAATAAACCTAAAGAAATAGACATTAAAAGAATAACAATTAAAATAGAAGTATTAGTAAAAGATCTTAAAAATTGTATTCTTAATTAATGACAGATAAAAATTATTTAGAAACACTTGAATATTGTAAAACCTTTCATACAGAAGTAGAAGGACTGACTAGACATACTTCTCCAAAAAACTCAGACACAATTATTATTAAACAAAATAATATAATAATTGCATTATTATTATTTCTCCATAAAAAGATAGATATTTTAGATAAAACAAAAAATTATAGATAACATACCCTCTTCATCAAACGTAAAAAAAGATTTGAGATTTTTAACAGAAAAGTTAGAAAATTTAAGTTTTAAAGAAACTGGTAAGGAAAAAGTAACTAGAAAATTACCTAAAGAATATAAGTTTCCAAGATGAATCCATTTTTAGAAAGATCTAGAATTATAAATGAAGAAACCTCTTCATCAAGAGAAAGAACTAGATGAAATTTATCAAGTATAAATAGAAGTTTAATGACAGAATGTTAAATAAACCAGAACAATATGATCAAAATATTGAAGAAATATTAGATCCACATATCCAATTTTGACTAAAACCAAGTTTGTTGGGTATCAAAATTTGGATATTTATAGACGAAGAATAAGAAACCTTTACTCATCTTTCCTTTCTATGCATTGATAGAAAAAAAAAATGAAAACTCATTCATTCTTTC